AGTATATTCATTCAGCAACCTGTCGTCATTAATTGTGTAACATATAACAGGCATAACAATGGAGGTGTCAGTTCAGCGCCTCATCTTTCTCCAGGAAATGCATCTAATGCTTAAGTGCGAACCGTGTCCTTTGTTAATGCAAAGACGATACCTCTAATCCTCTATCATGCCAACTTTTCAATACTTATGCTGTTACCCCGCCCCATTTCATCTGCATGTGACACTGCTGTAAACCGTAATGTAATTTGTGTTGTATGAAAATAAATCATAGTCACACAAATTCCAGCTACGGGGTGGGTGAGGGCCGAGATTATCCACCCTGAAGGGACAGGTAGCCTACACAGAAATTAATCAATATCTGCAGACACGATGTATGCCCCAACATTTGACAATAAATATCATTATTGATAATATACTCACTAGGTGCCTCCTCCGGTCAATCCATGAAACGACTCGCGTGTTTGAAACGATGGGTGGTTGCGTTAGATTTCGGTGGTAGTCCTACATCATGTGCGTGGGCATGACCAGAATGTGAATCAGGCACTGGGAAAGACCATTCTGTCGTGCCGGATAATGTGCACATTCTACAGGCTACTCATAATCTGGCCAATTCCCTGACTTTCCCACCAATCGTAAGCTGGCGTGAACTTTACACAATAAGCCTAGCGGTGTGTCATACACCTGGATGAGGTAGCCGTGCTGGGTACTAACCTGGAGGGTAGCCAGTGTCACTGCACCCACGGTGCAACAAACAGAAACAAGGAATGTTCGTTGAACTACAGGTCACGATTATCGAAACCTAGAATTTGTTGATCATGAAAGTGGCAAAGGCAGCCTAGCACTCACCGGCCATAGGGCCATCGTGACCCATGAAAATGATGGACAAGATGTCCTGAAAGCCTGCTTGACCAGTTCAAATCTGTCGCTTCTGGGTGCTGAGATATATTCAGTAACCTTTAGCAGGATTATGAAGCCCTGATATGAAATGGTATTAACGTACATGAATTATACTTTTCTGGAATCATCGACGAGGTACGATAAGTGGACGACTAGTGTGTACACTGCCCCAAAAACTTTTCATCATCTCAGGCAAAAAGTAAAAGGTGTTAAGATGGAAGTACTACCTTCAAGTTTTATTTTCCTCCAGGTTTCCCATGTAATGTCGAGTTACAAACTCCGGTGCTTTTGCTAGTGCAAAGACGATACTTCAATTTCTCTATCTTGCAACTTCCAGCACACCTATATTGCTGGGGTGTTCCATCATACAAACATACAGCACTTATATCATCCAGCAATAGAATGGGTGGGGACCGGAATTGCTTGCCGTGAAAATATGTAATTTGTATAGTAACTTATTCATACCTGTAAAAATGGTGCGTGCCTGTATATTCATTAATGAATATCACCATTGTTATTATCGTCATTATACTCTGGGTAGTGTACTGGCGGTGGAATTATCCCCTCTAAATATGACGAGCAACTAAGTGGGACTGATGCGGGCGGTTTACTTGTTACGATCTGCACGAAGAGTATTTGGCATTTGCGCAACCGAGGAGGAGAAGTTAGCTACCTGCGGCCCTTGTCGACCGTCAAATCACAATCTCCATTGAAATACTGAAAACGATAACACGAAACAGTACACAGCTAGTAGTTCCTCACCACATGTACTTCACTTTATTTTCGCTTCTTATAAACTCCTCGTAGGGAGACGTAAACAATAGCCTACCTAAAGGAACTGAGAGCGGGAGGGTCTTTTTTGATATTTCTGGATGTGGACTGAGTTTCCAACCTGATTTTGCTTCCGAGTAGACACTGCGAAGATTTGGATTAGATCGTGACCTCAAAAGGACCATATCGCGTGGCGTCCGGGTCTTTATTCTACATGCTGAAGACCGAAAGACGCGCACGGAAATCTGAACGGTCCAAAAGTTGTAATCATTGCCGTTTTCGGATTGTCTTTCGCCTCCATGGGAGTGCGGTCATGCACTTTGACGGAGTCGGTTCTCCAAGAAATGATCATTCCACATAAATTTGCAGCTTCTTCACAAAATCGTTTCCGAAGGTAGTAGTCGGGCGCTGTTTTAACGCTAAGCTGTCGGTAATCGCCGATAGGGGGGAGTTCGCTGTCATTCTTTTTTGGTACCGTTTGCAGTGGAGATTCCCACTTGGTCATCCAACAATCAGATGGTGCCTGGGCTGAGCGCATGATTCTTCTCCGCCATGTGCGACCTTTTGCGGTCCGAGCGGTATGCCTTGGATAGCACAGATCATCCAGAGTGGCCACATGGTGCATAACATCGCCGTTGTGCATTGTTGGGAATGTGCTGGTAGTTCGAATTCCGAACGCGTCCATGACGATTTAATAATAGTTTGACTGAAAGTTTCTATCTAATATGGTCTAAGCTGTGGTTTCGCTTAAAAATAACTTCGGGTCACTTTCCATGAGCCATCACCGGAAGAAATCCACCGATAGGTCGCGGTGGCTCTGCAAACGTATACCATAGACAGCTAGAAAGAAAATTCCGTGTAACCTCAGTTTTCTGTGTGGCGTATAACAAATGGCCATTAAAGCCAGTTAAAATTGGCATCAATGCATGCAGGCGTGGCAGTTTATCGACTTTATTCAATGTCGGGTTAAATTGCATGGATTTCCGCTGAATCGGATATCGTAGCTACTGACGTTTTTGAAGCAGTACGACTGAACTGTATGTTGGGACCACGACGTCACAAACCTTAGTAGCCAACCAACCGAGTTGCAAAGTCCTGTCATGACAGAATCCAAATATGCGGATGCTTCCACTAAAAACAGATCTAAGAGTTACCCTAAATATTTTGTCGGATGATATTTCCAGCCCATGAAATACAACACACCGTAGCATTACAAACAAGGTTCGCGTCGGTTTCGTTAGGTTTGACAGCGACAGGAAACGGGTAAAATAGTCATGAGCCATCCACTTTTCAATTAATTCTCATATTTGCAAAGTTGCCTCATCTGCGTAATTGCGTACGAACCCAATGCTAAGAAGCAGCTCATCTGAACGTCAGTGATTTATGAGAACACCATTCTTCAAACCAGAAAACTAAAACAATGAAGACAGGTCAATTATGTCACTGCTGAATGTGAAGACTGCAATTAATTCATCTAATCCCCATGGAATTTGTTATCTGAAGGCAAGAAACTGAAGAAAAGGGTCCCTGACTCTTCTTCCGCAAAAATGGGCTTAAGTGTACAAAAACCAGGTTTGTTCGTCTTCTGGTCAGAATGGTGCGGGCTGAATAAGTTGTGCTGTCGGTCTGGTATGGATAAGTCAAGGAGCTTGGCCCCACATGAATCTGAAAACCTAAGGCACACATACGTGGGAACTTACGGCCACGAAAAAGTACAGATACATAAATGCTGGCCAATTCGATTCAAATGAGTTTGATGTGATCTTGTCGGATACAGAAACGAACACCTATTCATTACATTTTTAAGGTTATTTACAAATGCAAAATCGTGAAATAACGCGATGCATGGGCCAGGTTGGAATCGCGCATTCGTTTTACCGTGTTAATATTGTTATGACGCATGAGGATGGATAAAAGATTACGGAAAAGTGACTCAAAGCATCGTGATGTGTGGACTTGCGTGTATGCTTGGTCGTATGCCTCCAGCTAAGCAAGTCGGTCGAAAATAGAAAATTCGTAACCCATCTCAAATACAGTTGAACTGCAGGCTGTCAGACTAAGAAAATTATCTGTCTTCACGGACGCATCGGAATGTAATTTAATTTAGTGATCTGCGTGTTTCATACGATTTCCACCAGTTAAACAGTCAGAAATCCCCTTACTTGAAGAAAAAATTCAGTGCCTATTCGCCTCATTTGTAGGCACTATTTAAAACGCACACGATCAGGAAGATAGCAAAGGAAAATTCAGGTGAGTTTTAATAGGTTACTTCTCAGGTTTCACTTCTCAAATTTGTCATCTAAAGTGCTGCAATTAAGCACTTTGTCATGGGTTATTTGTTGTCAAAACCTTCGAATGACATTTTTCTAAGGAATTCACCGACAGAAACCATCACTACAAGCTACTTCAACTTTCGCCATCACCTCGAGTTTGGGACTCCCCTTCTCTGCAGCGGGACAAATTAAGCTTAAAATCCATCCAAAGGCTCCCGACCAAATCTGTTCGGGGACATAGGTCTAGAACATTTGTAGGACGACTGGCTGCACCAGATCTGTATCTCCTGGAATCTAGAAAACCAAGGGGACACTTACTAATGGCTCACGGCATCCTGAGCACCCTTAGGCATCCATTCCGTCACCTACCGAATCTTAACTGTGGCACTAATCTTAGGGATAAACACAGAAACCAAACATGGAACGTAGTAGGTTAAATATCACCCACGATTTCTATTACCTGAGAGCTGTCGGACCTTGGAATCTTCCTCCTGTATACGTGATCCAGACCGCTTCATGTGAATCTTTTAAACGATGCCTGGTCACTTATTTGACACGTGGCTGCGATCTGCCTGAAACTAAGTGAATTTTCACATTTTACCTGTACTCAGGTTAACAACCGCAAGAAGTAGTAACCCATGGATTCTAGAAGCGAAAGCCATTCGAGAAAAAGCTTTCTGTATTCTGTCAACAACTGTTTGGACCATTTTAATCACTATATTTGTTTAAAACGATTGCTACTTTATATATACATTTGTGGAATTAAGTGGTAATCATCAGTTAAAAAATTTTTATGAAATACTGGGTCTATAATAATCCTGAATATGCGCGTTTTGATGGCATTCTGTAACTGACAGAAATGTTCTGAAAATTTGCGACCTTGTTCTTCGTGCTCAAGGTCGTTCCCATCACATGTGCCAGGGTCACGAGGCCTAAGCCATGGCAACGCGGAGGTTTTATGTCTGCTACGTCTCTGTTTGAGCATAATAATCGTCATAACAGTGCCCGAATTTAGCGGATATTCTATTTACTTCTCTTTGATATCTTTTTGACATTTAAATGTCACCAAAAATTAGGATTGTCCTGGAAGGATACGCGCGGTATCGTGATGGCAAGAAGGTAAGGTATCAACCAGATGTTCTCATATATCCATACTCTACATTTATCTCATGCGCTTTTCCTTATCATTTTCAGTGGAAGAAACGCTACTGTGTGCTTTCTCTGTCACCGACCAATCCCGGTAAGTTCCGAAGCTGATAACCGTCAGCTATTACATTTCAACACGCATAGATTGTTAGGCTTTTTCATGTTTAGTGCTTTCGGTGTTAGTGGTTTAATTCTTATTAAAATAGAAATTGTGTTTGGATCTAGAAATGCTTCTGGGTATTAACTAGTATGATTTGTAGCAGTTTTACCATCGGTTGTTAGTTTATTACCCCTCACTGAAGATGGAATGAAGTCTCAATGTGTAATGCTTAAGTCACTAGTTTTAAACATCTTCCTTTATCCCACCGCGTATATTGTGAAATCACATTTGAGATACAATCGCCTGCCTATGAAGCTGCTTGTTCGCATTGAAAGTATGCAAGCCAAGTATTTGATCGAGTGAGAAAGTTACATCTGCTGATCCGTTCAGCAAACGGTATTTGAGATGTATTATTCCCGAAAGACGACTTGAATAGGAGCTACCTAAACCCCTAAAAGGGTTCATAACATTGTGACTTACGACAATTCTAGAGGAAGCAATGATGTCCTAAGAACACTTGTAACGGGCTAGATTACTCTTGACCTGCTCAGTTTTCGTTTGATTTGTTCTTCATTTCTGATGTTTTGAGTGTTATACGTTGTTTCTAGAGTGCCTTCCAATCGTTGCTAGTTGGAATAGTCACTAACCGATCACAAACTCACTGTAGCAGCAGTTGGGATAAATGTTAAGCTTACCCTAAAACCATAGACAAAGAGAGATCTGTTAATTTCTTAGTTTCCTGTGAGTTTCGAACAATCAACTATGTTGCGATTTCTTTCTATGTTTGTTCCCTTCTAGTTCCTAATTTTATTATTTTCCTTTCTTGTACTGTTAAGTGTGACTTGCTGCACCGGTTCACTTCGTTAATTTCTACATAATCTGCGAGTGAATTCATAGTTCAGTCCTGATGCATTTACTAACTGATATCTCTGAAATCGTCTTACCTCTGAAATAGTATTCATGCTAACTAGTTCAAGCCGGTGTTATCATTGAGACTGACATACTTGAGTAACTAATGTCGTGTTCATGCAAGTAATGCCTTCACTTCATTGCACTAATTATGTAGCACTAGGCACATCAGGCGCATATCACTGACTGCAGTTCAGTGTTCCAAATTAGAGTTGTCTATATCGTTAATCTATTTTTCAGTCTACTCTAATGCCTATACTGACCTAATTTGAATGTGAATAAGTCACGACATGTAAATCCGAGCTATTTATGTAAGTGTAAACTTCTTATTTCTTTCCTAGACGTAAGGAATTGGCGGTTCAGATTCTAGACAACTAGCTCTTTAACTTCTTTCGTTTCACTGTAATATCGTTTAATTTTGTTGGTTTTTCATTTCCTTTCTATATGTATCACTTCATAATGCCTTGGCTGTTTATTCACCGAATTAGGTCACCTATCTCTATGTAACTCTGTAATCAGACCCCTAGGTTTCATAAAATTGTGTGCTTAATTCATTAATGTCTAATAAAATCTGAAGTTATGTATATCACTTCAAAATGCCAGTCATTATGCTATTTGTGAAACAAGTTATGGGGCTCACACTCACTAGACTGATATAGCAAATTCAGCTAACAATAAAACTGAGAAAAGACCCTTTTTCAGCACGTTCATATCTAAGGGCTGAATTCTGTCCATCTAGTTAAAAGTTTGGTGTACTCGTAACTATATCCCTTCCGTAAAGTTTTGAAGTTTTAAGCGCTTTGAATGTGAGTTAAAATTCTTCTCTATGACACCAAGTAGTAGTGAGTTGCCAAAACGAAAAAGATGGGAGGAACATCAGTGCTGGATAACGCATTTATTCAAATTTACCGAAGGGACGCCAAAAAATGTCTCTGATCAAGGATTGTCGTCGAGGGAAACGAATCCTTTGTAACCTTCCACGACAGACAGCTGAAACTTTGAGTAGAGTAGTGAGGAACAGTCGAATTGCTTTGCAGTGACACTCCCGGTGTCCAACACAGTGCAAACCTGAGTGGGATGTTAGTGATGGTCCTCCAGCTGTCACCAAATTCGTAAAGACTATCATGGTTGAAGTTTTGTCAAGCAACAGGACCTGACGGTTTGTCTTTAAGGATTGAAATGGACAATTACTGATGAAATTAACTAAAGTACTAGCTTGTACACGAGAATGAAACATAACCCTATCAAACTGGTCTGAATCAGTTCCTGAAACAACTTGAAGGTCTTTCTCTGACAGCCACACAATAGTTGGTTTAGTTAACTACTATGTTTACTGCGCAACGGTCTTCCACTCCCTTATGGTACAGTTGTGTGACTACACCGCCAAAAATAGATGTAAGGACGTTACGGATTTTTAATCGGACGTTCCTCTGTAGTATTAGCAGTGAGACCACAGTGTAAGCAATATTGAGGATGATCATAGGGTACTAGATAAAGGACGCAAGTCAGCTGATATAGTTGTAAACCTTCGTCGGAAGTGACTGGGCCACGTGTTGCCCATACTGAGCCAAAACATATGTCTTACATTCGATAGGTGCGAAGTGCATGCCAAACACTCAGATTTCCACTCTTTCATATTAACTTGTTGTTTGAAAGTACATTCCTGTGCAAGGTTTCACGTTGATGTTATTTGTCTAACTGGGTGTTCTCAAGATGCTGAAAACGAATTATTGGAATACCTTCGTAACAACCGGAACTTATCTAAATAGTACGGATATATTCACTCTTGGTCACCAAGACTTTCACTCTTCACTACATTTCGTGAACTTATTGTCTCCTTCCATATGCATTTATGTACTTTAATGTTATACTTTTTATTTTTGCTTTTCTTTTAATGACAATAATATAAATCGACTTCGCGCATGCATATGTATTAAGTTATGAGGCAAACTTACTGTTTGGTGATTTATGATACTACTCGGTTGCTCAGGTCGAAATTGCTGAAGTAGGATTTAAACTCGGAACCCATTTCTTGAAATTCGAATGCCTCAGTCAATGAGCTGCATGGTTAGCCTCCTCCTTACCTCAACGCAGACTGTATACACATCAACTAATGCATTTCTGTGTGAGGTTTGGTAAAAGAGGTAAGTCAGTTGATAAATTTTCATCAGTGTAATAGTAAAACTTGGGCACTGCATTCCACGGTGTGGGGAGCCGGGAATTGTCAACCGCCCTCACAACACACAACACTCAAGTTTCCTTAGACTATTATCAACTTTCCACATCTTTTTCTTTCAATCTTTCTTCACGTCTCTTAGTAACCATCTCTAATTTCTTTAAGCTCTGCAGCTGTTGATAACGATTTCAGTTCAGGGAACAGCACACCTAGTCTCCTGGAACCGCACTCCAAACTTTGTATTGGAGCTGTCTATGCCCGTACTCTCCATCAAACCTGTGGACAAGCTTCATTGGGCAGAACTCTGGCATCTCAAGCCATGGAAGTTTGCTTCGTTTGTTAGATACGCATACAGAACCCATATGATTATTCACTTAACTTCACCCGGGCAATATGGTGAATCTGCGAAATCCACCCTGAGAGTTTATGAGGATGTAGTGTCTGATTCTCACGGTCTTGTAGGTGTGGGTATAGCATTAGTTCGTAAGGAAAAAAATGTACTATTCATCTGGATCCCATTTAACAGTGACCTGTACTCTGCTCGTCAAAAAGCTGTGGTAAGGGCTACAACGAACGACGAAACTCACTGTTGTACCTTTGCAATCTCTGCTTCCACACCCAGTGACCATGTTTCGGATGCAGTAAAGGGTGAGTTCTACTGGAAGAGTTTTGGCTTCTTTCTAAAAGCTAAACATCCAGACGTCATACCAGATGATTTCAATGCACAATTAGGTAGGCTACTTTGGACAAAAATACATTTCGGTAGCAATTTCGGAATTCCAGCCGAAAACGACTATGACGTGTTACAACTGTGCTCTGTGTTGTGGCTCACTTGGTTAGGGAATTGACTTCCAACCATTGGGTTACAGGTTCGAACTCTGCTCTCCTTAACGAGGTTCGGACAGCCAGGTGGTATCACCAGCCCTCATACAATAGATGTAATATGTACAATGTGGCTGAGTTGATTTGATCCGATCCGATTCGACAACTGCGCTCAGACAACCGTCTATTTATGGCTAGTACGAACTTCAGAAATAAAGAGAGACAATGTTTGATTTGGCGTCTAGCGACCTTAACTTAACGGTAGACATAGACAGACTACATTGCCATCAGTTGTCGCTGGAGAGGATTGGTGGAAGACTGCCGCTCCTTCTGGAGCACGTGTTTGGGCAGTGATCACACGTAAGTTTGAGCAGGCTTATTTCCGCACCTAAATGGACGTGTGAAAGGCTAAAGCAGAAAGATCATTGCAACGATGAGAATACTTAGATTGCTTTCAGCGCAAAACTGACCAGATAGTTATTGGTACAGAACAACACTCATACAAAAGAAACCTGGTGTCTCCTCCAATCTTCTGTAAACTCACTATTGAAAACCTTAAAATGACTCAGAAAGTGTTTAAAAAGTGCAAGTTAATCTCAGCAGCTTCTTCTGAGTAAATGAATGCATGTGAATGCATTCCTGCAGTCTTCGAGCACCGTGAAGAGTAAAAACAAAGTGAATGTGAACCAGAAAATGGTTTTGGCAACGAAAGTGAGGAGTGGTGAGCAGCAAAAGCTAGAAAGATGGAAAACTTAGCGTCGATAGGTAGACAGCTATTCAGACTGAGGCAAAAAGTCATTGGTTAGTAAGACTATAGCGCAGATGGATGGGTCTGCGATTCACTAGTAGAAAAGACAACCGAAACGATGGACAAAACCCTTTGAGGAACAGCTGAACTAGCCTCCAGCTACTATTCCGTTACCCCGTATCCAATTGGGTACTGAATAGAACACTGAGATAGGACCTCCAACGCCTGTCCAAGTCGAGGAAGCTCTAAGCAATCTGAAATGAGGAGAGGCAGCAGGACCATATGCACTAGTACTGAAAGTATTTAAAGACGCCGGGACGGGATTACTGGTTACGTTAA